CTTGCGATTGCTAGCCTTAATACGAACATCTATTAAGCTGTCTTATTTTTGAAGGATTCTTAAATAGTTTTATTTTTCATGCTTTATGTATTTTATGCTTTCGATATTATTAAAAAACTTCCTCCGTTTTTTTTAGTTTCTAGTCGTAACGGCTATTTGCTTCAAGATTCCAATGATATCTGCAAAATGTCCTTAAAGGAACAGCGCCAGACCTGCTTCGCTCGTCTTATTTCCGCTCTCAGGGCTGCTGGCTACGGAGGAATGGTAGATGATGTGATGATCTGCGTCACCGAACTTCAGCGTATCACTCTTCTTTGGGAAGAATTGTGGACTGGTGTACTTATGGAGCACTTGGATGAGATGACTAAAAAAGTAAGTCGTCTTGATATAATGATCCTTAGACTTAATTTTACTTCTAGCCCTCCTATTATTTCTATGCAATGCTATTCTACATTACCTTGCGTTGTTTGTTTCCTACAAATTTATAATATTCAATCTTAGTAGTCTTTTTGCTTTTTGTGTAACGCTACAAGAGGGCACTTTAATAACAAAGCTGATTTGGAGTATCGGCAATTTTCAAGCAGACCTTACTCAGTGGGAATTTTCTTTAAAGTCTAACCATATTGGCTGTCCTATGATTTTATCATCCAATTATTTTCAAGTTTTTCTGTCTGCTATTGGTTGCATCTTTTTCATTCAGGAGAAGATGAATTCAAGGGCAAAATAATATTGTCATTGTTAAAATATCGTATCGAACATCAGATTTAGTTAGTGCCTAGTTCAATAAAATTCATGACCAGATACAGGCAGATCCTATGCGAGACTCTTAATTCTGAGGATTTCCTGATGCATAAAACATCACGATTTATTTGTACTCATTTAAAGCAAATCTTCGAAACTTGGAAGTTTTCGATATGGAATTCCCACGACCTTATTCTAGTTATGATCAGATTATAGAAAGAGGAGATTTGCTGGTAGGTTTCGATTCATCGTCTGTCTACAATAATATTAAGATAAATGGAACAATGAAGGCCTTTAGATCAACATCCTAATATAATAAGAATTAAAAAGTCAGG